CCCCCGAGCCCCGCCGCCGTCCCCCCGCTCCCCGCGAGGGGCTGCAGCCCCGCTCCCCCCCGGACGGCCGGTGCCGCTGCCCGCCCCAGCCCGCACAGCCCCGCGGGCAGCCCGACACCTCCCACCGTGCGCCCGCCTCCTTACCGACACGGCGGGCGGCGCAGCGGAGGCCCCGCCGGGGCTGCCGGGGGTACGGCGCGGCCGCGCTGTCACGGGCGGCCCCGCTCCCCCCGCCCCGCCCCGCCGCGCCCCGCCCCGCCGCCGGCACCGACCTCCCGGGGGTGGGCACGGCCCCGAGCGCCGGCCCGGAAGCGAAACCGCCCCCCCACCCCGGAAGAAAATTCCCGCCCTCTCTGCCGCGCATCGGCCATCCCCCGCCCGCAGGGAGGGGCCGCTCCGTGCTCACGTGACCCACGGTGGGGCTATATAAAGGGCGCGCGGGCACGTGGCCTGCCTTTCCGCCTGTGACCGGGGAGCAGGTATGGGTGTGTAGCTCTGTGTGTCCCCGGCGGGATTGGCATTATTCCGCGCAGCCCCGCTCCGGCGCTCTCGGTGGGCGGTGTGGAGGCGCCGCGGGTCGTTGTTGGTTCGCGATGGGCGCTGGTGAAGGAGGATGGAGGCGGATTGTGGCGGCGGGGCCCGGCCCGGCCCAGCGCGCCCGTTAGGCCCCGGCCCGCTCTGAGGGACTGCGCGGGCGGGCGGGGGGGGCGCGCTGCGTGGGAGCGCGCCCTGCGCTGCCGCCGCTTTGCTTTGCTTTTGCTTTGCTCGGGAGAGATCGGAGCGAAGCACGCGAGGAAAACGGCGTGGCCCACAGGCGGGCCTGCGCCTCGGTGCGGACACGAGCACCGGTTGCCTGCGCTGTGCAGGTCCGTGTAAAGATTTCCGAGAGGTGGTAGAGCTCACTGTTGCCTGAATGAGGGGTTCTGGTAGGTGCTGGCGGGGGAGAACCCTCTCTGGGAGGGGGCTTTGTGTGGTGTGAGGAGCTGCCCCTCCGTCTGGGTTGTAGGCTCAGCTCTAGAAGGCTTCGAACCTCCTGTGCTGCTAGGAGAGTATCAGAGCTCCCTTCGCATTCCATGTGTCCGCACGTGATGAAAACTATGTTGGTAGGGACATCTGAGAGGCTGATGAGTACCAACATATCTGAGCTGGACATGGAGCAGAGTAGGGAGGCAGGCAGGCATATGGAGTGGCTGAGGCACCACGTGCTCAGCGCACCTGGGCTGCTGGATCCACCCGCTGGCTGCAGTCAGTTGGAACAGTTCAGTGGTTCTGACCTGTTCCTGGTAAGCAATACGAGTTAGTAGTTATTTGGGTGGGTTTGTCTCCAAGTTGGTGCCCTTTCAGTAAGGGGAAGCTTTACAGCAAGGCTCAGGGTGTTGCTTTGAGTTGTGCTTCCTCCTTTTTCAAGGGAAGCATGTAACCATAATATCCTCATTCTTAATAGAAAACCTAATGCATACTCTTTTGTTCTCAGTGTAAGATGAATCGATTACACTCCTCTCTCTCCTGTGGCTTCAAAATAGGTGAGTGCTGTTTTTGGAATACAGAGTTTAATTTTAAAAATAATGTCTACTGTGTAAGTGTACTTAGAGCAACTAGCCTGGAATACTCTTCTATCTCAGGAAGAAATTACAGGACCAGTGTGAAGCAGTTCTTAGGCAATTTTCATTCTACTGTTGGAAAAAGCCACATGTTCCTTTGCTGGAAAGTGGATTTCAGGCTTCTGGTTCTGGAAAACTAGTTCAGCTTCTAACCAGACCAAGAGTATATTAGATATGTGTCTGTTACTGATATTTCTCCGTGCACACCAGCAGATTGGAGGAAAGTGCTCAATGCATGTTTCTAAAAAGGACCTGTAATATCAAGATTTCTCATTAAACTGGAGAGCCTGTGATGTTTTCAGTATTAGAGTAGTGGACAGAAGTGATTTCTGAAAACTCTGTGCTGAGGCTTTTTCCATGCTTACTGTCACTGCTGGAGATACTCCCTAGTTTTGCAGGCATCTGATGATGTCCTGTCCTGACTCTTTCAGGCCTGCTGCTGAATATGAAGAGTTGATGCTACTTCACAAGGTAAAACTTATTGGGGGGAAAAAATCAAACATTTAGGGGCTTACTGTTTAGATCTTATTTTATTTTAATGACCTCAGTAGGCAGACTTTATTCCTTAACTTAATCCTCTGGTGCCACAATGATGACTGTATAGTTTGCTACTCTTGACCAAGAAAATGATGAGAGCTCAAACCACCATAATTTCTATCTGAGGCACAGCGGCTTAAAATTCACCTTGATAATATATTTTGGCCTTGAATTTATTTTCATAAGCTTTTTCTTTTCCAGGATTTGAATAATGCACTCAGAAAAGAAACATCACCTGGTAAGAAGCTTTGTGCAATCTGTGTTTGGGTTTGTTCTGTGTAGCTGCTGAATCACTGCAGTGAAAAGGGCGGGATGCATAAAAAGGGATGGCAGTGCTTTGGGATTAATTGCCCCTAATGCACAGAAATGGGTACTTGTTAGTATTTTGAAGACTCTACAGAGATTTTACATGTTTTATCTTGAGAATTTGAGCTTTTCAAAGTCCTTGCTAGATGACTGCATGATACGTTACTCTAAAGCAGATACAGTGATGATAACATAGTTCAGCAGATTATCTCATGATGAGCCATGTTCTGTCTTTCGCTCCTATCTGATGTATCTAGCTGTTGTATCTAGCTCCTTGCTAGAGGGTCTAGACTTGACGAAGAAAGCTGAGGGAATCTGATTTCCTTTTGTTGCAGGCACTGGGAAAAGCTACAGGATGAACGTGCAAAGGTAAATATTGCATTAACTGCAGCTGCACAAACTAGCTGTCTGTTCCTGACCTGTGAGAAGGCTGTGTATGATGACAACATAGTTCAGCAGATAACTTGTGATGATCACTCTACTGGTCTTTCGCTCCTATCTGATGCAGCCTCCTGTACTTGGGGTAATTCTGGCAGACAGCTGGGAAGCTTGGGTGAAACACTGTATTCACCATGTTGTTGCTTTGCAGTCTGCCCTGCATGGAGATGGAAGCGTGCTTGTGCCCAGCAGAGCTAATTTACCTTTGCTGATGTTGGTGAAGATGCTGCCTTTATAACTGAAGGTAATTGAACATTTTAGAAGGCTGGAAGGCTATGTTTGATAGTGCTGCATTTGTGGACTAGGTCATCTACAGTGCTGCATTTGGGCTTGCATTTGGAAAATGCAGAACCATATTGCTTCTGGAAAACTTGAAGCAAAGATAAGTGCCCTAAATATGTCTTATGGTCCTGTATACTTCCCAGTAAAGTAGAAATTTTGTGAAGTGTTAGAATTTCTGCAATGTTCCTGCTGAGATTAAATGCCTTGAACAGTAAATGCAGCAGTGCTAATTTAGTATCTGAAATGCTTTTTCTGGTTTAGGCCAACTTGAATGTTTACAAGGAGTTGAGGTCACTGTAGTTTTTTTGCTTTTTGCAATAATAGCAATTAAGGAGTAAGATCCCAAAGATGCTGAGGAGAGCTGGGGATAGATTTGGGCTCCCCTGTGGAGGATGGGAGTGTTGCAGTCTGCTGTAAATGATGTTGAATCAGGTCTCTGATCCCAATGAGGATAAAACTTGACTAAACACTGATACAGTATTTGACTGAGGTGGTTGTTCTTGAGCTCAAGATTTTTGGTGGATCACATCTAATAGCAACTTTTCCTTTGCAGACTTTGAAAATGTTTCTCATCAAGATGTAAGTACTTGTTTTTAACTTTGAGTATTAGCATAACAAGCCTAGAATGTGCTTGTGAAATGAAATACTCAGCTGAGGGAGGGGAAAGAAGGCAGTGTTGGCTGCTAATTGCATTTCAGCCAGACCAGAAGGATGTGTAAGGGAAGTGCTGGATAAAGACCCATCCTACATGGACTGGCTTTGCTAATCTGCATGTGTGCTTGTGAAATTGTTGATAGCATAGTACATCTGGGTTCATCCTGTTCCCAAAGCAACCATAGCCAGAGCAGATAGCTGTCCAGTGACTGGATGTGTAAGCTGCCTGTGTGATGAGACATGAATACCCTGACTTCAATTATGGAGGTCTGCAATTAGCTCTATCTGACTTCAGGCATCTGACTAGATTTCATTCTTCTGTGTTTGTTTTTGTGCTCTTCTGACTACTTTTTTTTCTAGTACTGTTGTGGAACTGTGAAGTGGTGCAGTTGGTTGTGCTACAGGCAAAAGTGAGTAGCCAGTGAATTTCTATTACTGGTCATTACTGTGTGCACGTGATGGGAAAGATACTAGGTGTTAGCCTCTAATTGTGCTGCTATCTCGTAGCTGCAGGATTATTCTTAACCTCCTGCAGTAGATAATTTTATAGCAGCCAGCAGGCTTCACCTACCAAGGTACTGGGAATTGAATTTCAGATTTGAGGCTCCAATTATTTGAGTACTCTGTAAAGAATGTAATTGTGCAGACAGGGTAGGCATGTCTTACAGGGTTGTAATGATGTTGTCAAATGTCTGAACTGAAACTACTAATGTAGACTTCTCTTCACTGAAAAACCCTGTGTCTGCAGTGGCCATAGGTGTGCTGGTAATAGATTATTAATAAACTTGAAATGGGAGGGAATTCTGTGTGGCAATGGATATAAAGGGGAACAGCTTTTCTTTGAGGCCTTTACAGAAGTTGCTCTTTAGGGGATATAGGAAAAGTGCTACCTATTTTTGAACTGTAATTTAGGATCTTTCCTAGAGGAGAATGCTTTGGAGGTAGCTGCTTTTTCTGGGATGGAGTTGGTGGAATGTGAGTGCTTCTGTGCTGTCAGATAAATGGCAGGTGTTAGTCTGCTGATTAGATTTGTGAGCACCAGTAGCTTCAGTGCATGTGTGGAAATGCTCCAGAAAGGTAGCAATAATTTTTCCAGAAGAAAAAAGTTTCTGGAAGTCTTGTGGTTGTAATACAGCACTAGCATTGTACTAAAAACTTATGTTTTTATGTTTATCTTAGATTTGAGAATGGAAGAACTGCCCAAGATTTTGTGACAGATACTTGCTTGGTAAGCTCTTTGCTTTTCAGTTGCCATAAAATATTTTTTAATGAGATGTGTGGACCAATTGAAATGTGTAAATGCTTCTATTGGTTGGAAAGAATGCCTAAACCTAGCAGTGCAGAGTTTGCATCAATGACTGCTGCTGATTGAAAACAATACAGTTACTGTTTAACTGTTTGTTGGCTAAATCATGCAATGGGTTTTTGCAGGGATTATTACTGAATAATGTAGTGAATTACTTGTCTCTGTGGCAAGATGAGCTTTTACTTCATGTGTAGCAGGCAGTCTGAAATACTGAGCCTGCCCACTAAGGGAAAACAACAGTAACAACATCAAGCTTCTCTAAGCATGTACTGTTCATGATGATTAGTTCTAAGCAATGGGAATCTCTCTGAAAGAGACTGAGGAGGACTCTTGATCTGAAACAGTACGCAGATTTCAAGCTTTCTTGAAACACTGCCAAGCAGAGTGTTAATAAAAAAATTTCTTGTTACAGAGTGAAGCTGAAGGGGGGAGCATGTGAGAAATAACACCAACTTTGAGGTAAGCTTAAACTAGAGTATATTTTGGAGGCTATGGAGGTCCAGTAATGTCTGGAATGTTGTCATAAGGCTAGTAGTGCATGAAGGTAGTTGTGTGTATTTTGTTGCAAGTTTTGCACTCCCTTCTGTTGGGAGAATAAAATTGTGTGCATGGAGTAAAAATGACCTGCAGTTCTCAATTTGAGTTTATTAGGCACTTTCCCTGCAGATTTGGTAGCCTGATAATTCTTAAACTGTAGTCACTGGTAAACTTAATGTCTTCTGTTTGTATGAAGAAAAGCCTTGGCCACGGTGGCTCAAAAAACGTTTTTTATTGCTTGGTGTCTTCACACAGTAAAAATCATAAAAGCTGAATCAGTGGAGACTACTTAAGCCAATATGTTGACAATTTAATACAGCAGAATGTACAGCAGCAGGCATACAACTCCTGTCATAACACCTGCCTACCTGTATGGCTGTTCTGTGAACTGACACTAACACTGTTGCACACTTGAAATAGAAAAAAGATACTCTGTAGCTGGCAAAAACTTAATAGTAGAGTAATAGTAATAATAGTAGTAATCTTGCTTACATTGGAGGTACACAAATTTAGGATTGAGTTGAAGATGTAGGTTCCTGTAGCACTTTGTTCCAGTGGTTTTATGGGGCTCGGATTTTAGGTATCAACTCATTTCAACAAAATCACTCTCAGTTGGAGAGAAGTATCATTAAGCAAGTATAGCCAGCTTTTTCTGATTCTTCTGATGTTAGTGATTCTGTATTTCCAGTTCATTTAGGATTGATAAGCTTTTTTAATATTATATTAGGTGTTACAAATTGAAGTTGTCAGCTGACAACTGAAATATAGCCTTTTTACAGGTTAAAATTAGTTTGTTTTCTAAATCCACATATAGTGGTATATTACTCTGATGGTTTCTCTCTTCCTCAGGAAAGGACTGCGCTGTCTGCTACCTCACTGGGTAAGATAACACAGATTAATTCTCTCTTCTGAGAGTATTGTAGCCACTGATGAAACTTGATTCTGCCAGATGAATTTCTGTGATATTACCATTTCCGTTCCATTCTTTCTGAGGTTACACAGCTGCTGAGAGGATCTCTTGGCAGGTGTGCCAGTGCCTGCTAAGTGTGTTTTCTTGCTTTAGGTGAGGATGCAACTTTGGAACTGTATGAGCAAACAGAAAGGTGAGTGTAGCTGTTAATAAAACTTAGTTGCTGGAACAAATGATGATTAAAACCTTAGCTTGAACTCTCTCACTGAACAGAGATGAAAACCTAAGGTCTGAGTTGTTCCAGTAAGCTTCTTGTACTGGTTTGGTGCCCTGTAACAGTTCTTATGCCTTACTTAATAGGTGGAAGATCCCAGGATAATGGGTTGCGCTTACATGAACAGCATTAAAACAAGACTTTGTGATGTTAATATTGCCTCATACACTGATTGGAGCTAATAAAATCTTGTAAACTCTACCTGTTGTTGTGAACTGCTTTCTGCTCTGATTGCTTGCTATAAAGTAACTCTAGGGTGTTTGATAAAAGCTACAAATACTTGGTATATGGCAGGGAGCTAACTAGTTTAAGGAAATGCTAGTCCTGCACTCTCTGCTGCAGAGTGTAGCTAATATGAGTGTTAAGACTGGAGTTGACCTGAGCAATACCTAGGTTTGGGTGAAGTTTAAAAGAAAAATAGAAACAGATTTTTCACAGAACCACCACAGGGCTTGGATTCTGTTAACACTTTTCCACTGGATTAAGTCTGGTCAGTGGCATTAGTGTGGGGTGTGACAGCATCCACCCTCTGTGAGGAAGAAAAATACTAGCAGAGGTGGGAGACTTGGATAATCCAATCCTATTTTTTTAAAGGTAGAAATGTTTGTATGATACTAGAGCCCATTAAGGCATATCTGTTACTGAAACTCATTATTTTTTCTGAAAAAGCAACGTTCTTCCCCCATCTTTTTGTGATGAAAAAGGAAACTTGCTGCTCTTAACACTTGAGCTATTGCATTGGAGCAGCACTTTGAACAAGAAGGAAAAACTAGACATCTTAACTCTTACAGGAATATTTTCTGATGCTTTCCAGAATTTTTCACTAAGAGTTGTTCCTCTTGATTGAGTTTCATCTCCCTCCCACTCCAGCTGGTGTGAGCTACTTGAGTTTTTAGCCAGAATAACTTCATCCTAGATAAAATCAGTTAGAGATGTTCCTGTGTTCACATACAAATATCTTCTGCAGTTAAGCAAAAGCCATTAATAGGGTCTGTTTCCAGTCAGAGTTGATTAGTAGCCTCTAGTATTCTCTGACTCTTGATTACTTCTTAAAATACCACACTTCATTGTGCCTGTTAAAGAGCTTGAAAGGACTGTCATAGCCTGCTGTGTAAAAGAAGTCTTCATGGAATGGTTGGCCTCTGTTTCTTAAGAGTTTAGCCAAGGCTTCAGCTTCTTCAGCATATTTATCTGGTGAGGCAAATCCACTGAAGGACCTGGTGGAAGTTAAAAGGAAAGTTGTATTTTTCTATTGTGTTAGGAGTTCAGGCCAAAATCCAACTGTTCTGCTTTGTTTTTTATCCCCAGAAGTGCTGGCGTGGGGAAGCATCAGTATTTGAGCAATTCTTATGTAGTTTGTAGTTAGTAAGTCAGAGAGAACTAGCAGTCATTGTATAGGTACATGCTACACCTAAATTCCAGGCTCCCAAGTAGCAGGGTATATTCACTGTACAGTTAAAAAAAAAAGTTGATACAACTAAAAATAGTGCAGCTCTTAGTTTGTCAGCTACACCCATACTGCTTACCTGACAAAGATGGCTCCTGCCTTCCGCTCCTCAACAAACACATCTGAGTCAGTGGGCTGTGGTGGGGAGTCCTGATGTTCAAATGGCACGAAGAAGGAGATCTTGAAGTCTGCACAGCCAGACTTCACCAGACATGTCACTGGCACAGTCATATCAATCTTGATTTCTAAAGAAGGATGAAAGATCTGTATTAAGATGCAAGCAAAAACAGTGAATGCAAGTGTAAAGACTGCTGCAGACTTAGCCTAAAATCAGGTGCTAAGGTGGCCTCAGTGTTGCAGCTGAAAAAAATCTAGTTTTTATGTTGATGCAAGGTCATGTGCTGCATCATTCTGCTTCCATCTGCCACAGTCATTGTCTGGGATGCAAATCCTTCATCTTGATGTGGTTCTTTGAGTTTAAGTTTCCTACTTTGTTCTTACTACATATATAGCAGGATGTTATAATGGGGCCCTAAGGGACTTGAAAGTGAAGTTATGAAAAGACCTGTTTGTGTGTCCCAAATCATGTGCTACCTTAAACTACTCAGCTTCATCCTGTTTGTGCTGCTTGCAGTTCAAAACCAGTGTCTCCTACCTTTCTCATTCTTCCCTTGGATGTAGTGGAAGAGTTTCCAGAAGCCCTGGCGCATTGCTTCCTTCTGGGTCTCTCCCTTAATGACTGTGCTGACCCACTTGGCTGTCTCATACTGGCGCAGTTCGGAGTCCTTTGCCTGAGAAGCAGCAGAAGTTACAGTGACCACAAGATGAATACTAAAGATGACACAAATGGGTAACTATTCTTCCCAAATCAGCATTAAAGTATTGTGATCAGAAAACCCCAGGCAGCCTCATAGCTGCAGGCACACCGCAAAAATCAAACTTTGACTTCTTCATTGCAAAACTGCTGTTCTGCCTTAGAACAAGTTGCTTATAATTTACAAGTAAGTGTTCCTCTTCCCTTTTTGCTGTTAGGCATAAACAGCATTCATAGTAATACTTCCTTGTTGTTCATCAAAGAATCCCAAATCCACCTTAGCTCTGCAGCACCCTGGCTGTAGAGAATCTCCTCCCAGGCCTTTAGCACTTACCATGGTCTCTATTGAGCTCCACCTAGGGGACTGCAGATCCAGGGACAGAAACGTTTGCTTGAAGGATTTGATCATCTTACCAGATCTGAAAAGGAGACACAGTTTGTTGGCCTCTCCAGTCAGTGCAGCATAGATGGGGTATGAGAAAACATTAAGTCTTTTCTGCTTAATTTCAAGAGGTTTTTCTCATCCTCTGGTTTCTAACCTGTAAGTAACACCTCCTGGCCCCAGTATGAAGCAAAAAACCTGTGAGGTTTAAGCTCTTAGCTTGAAATTTTAAGAGACTTGGTTTATAATTTTTGTCATTATTTGCTAGATAACACTACATAACCCATATCCAGAGAAAGTCTGCCATTATATGTTACAGTATCCTTAGCATGCACTTCATGTTGCAGAAGCAGCATGTCATTAAACCATCATGTGTGCTGATAATCAGGTCATAGCAGGCTGTCTTCTCAAAGCACAACTCAGCTGTGTGTGTTTTGGGCATTAGAACAAGCTTTGAGGTTATTTTGCATTCCTTTGCTTACAGCTGCCCTCACAAGAAGCTGTTGCCCTGTGACAGCTTTTTTTTTTTTCCTCATAGGCTTACAGCATTCAAGGTGGATGAATGTAATTAATAGCATCTGCCACCTCACTGCTCTGAGTGACAAGGTGAAATTATGCCACCTCATATTACCAACAACATTAACAGTGTCCATGTTTTGAGTTGCTGAATGATAGTGGTATCTAACATGAGAGATGGACCACGTACAATCCATGATAAATATATTTTAAAAGTCTTGAGTTACGCTGCCTTTAACACAGTGATTTGTGAATGTCAGGCTACATTTGTAAAACCAAGACTGCTTTCTGTTCACTTAGAACAGCCTGGTAGCCATGAATATTGTGTGTATTACACTTGCAGCCCATAGGCTGCTAGAGACTAGAGTTGAATGCTATTGATTCCCTTCTACACCTTGCTTATGAGGTGGCTAACAGGAGTTTTCTGTTTGGGATTTATAAGGGTGAGAAGCTTTAAAAACCCACCCCAAACTGTTGGCAGTGATTTCATTTACAATCCTTAAAATATACAGAAACGCATGCTGAAAAGTGCTATCTAGCAGCCACTGTAGTTGTAGTACAGCAGTGAGTACAAGAATGATGTAACATGCTACTGATGCCAGCAGTTAAAAGCAGGCAGTCCCCTTCCACGTCCCAGCCTTAATATACAGCATAACTGCCCAGTCAGCACTTAGACCAGAAGGCACTATTCCACTCTAGTACAGTTTTTGTCAGTACTATTTACAAATCATCAAAAATAACAAGGAAGCAGGAATCCAATTGCTTTATTAGAAGCAAATGTGAACAATCTACATTGAAACTTAATACATGGGTATGTTTTATCCTTTGCCATCTCAAAGACAAAGCTGATAAAACTCGGTTGGCACTTTATTTCTCTTTGTCACACTTTGATAGGAAACAATTATTTCCACGTGCTGCTGGTACCCTAGCAGAGAAATAAATGTTCCTCCATTTCCATTGCTGTACTAGCTAGTCTGATTCTGTGATTGCCAGTCTTGACACATTTTCAGAGCTGCTGCTCACAGAACTTTGTAACTTTGCGACCAATACCATCATGACTGCATGCAAGAAGTACTTTTGAATTACGTACATAAAACGGTTCTTTTTGGAGAAGAGAGAGGAAAACAAGTCTTCCAAATATAGAGTGGAATTCATTATTAGACCTACAGCAAAGCTTAGCTTTAGACTTTCTATCTTATTAACACATTTCTAACCCATGAAGGCTTTTCCTGCTGCTCTTAACACAAGGGCTGAAGGGACAGAAAGCACAGCAGGCATTGCCACAGCTTACGCTGATGCAGTGAGTAAACATAGTAAGAATATACCATTCCACGGAGCTGTTAATTGCATTTTAAAGCGGAGAAAGTGGATGTACTTACATTTTGGTGAATAGGCTGTCCTAGCTATTGGAGGCTGCGCACACCCACGAGGTGGTGCAAGTCGGTGTTTATTTTAGGTCGATCAGACTCCGCCCATGCCTCAGCCCTGCTGCAGGGAATGCTGTTAGGAAAACCAGAGCTCTGGGTCTCATTGGAGAGCTTCCACACAAAAGGCCGAAAGCTCCACCTCCTGCCCACTAGGCAACCCTGCTTCCAATGTGTGATCTGGCTCCATAAGCGGTTTCACACCCTTGTGTAACTTCCACTGCTTCTATGGCACCGTGCCTACTTAGGGCTGGGTCAGCAATAGGTTTCGTGCTCGCAGGAGAAAGAACTGTACAAAAAATAATGTTACACCCCTCCAACTCAGGTCAGAAGGTGATGTTAGAGAATGAGAGCTTTTCCTTTTTAACCCTGGCGTGAAATGGTGGGTACAAATCTGGCTGTAAACAGCTAAGACCATCCTCACAAGATTTCTGCTGACGTGTTATGAAAGGCACAGTGTTCTCTGATAGCTGGCTGTTTTGAATGGCATTTGGGACTGGTCAGCCCCCTTAGCTCTTGGATATGTGCACAAAGGGGTTATACAAAGCTATTGTGAAATTCTATTGTGTTTATAGTACACAAAGTGAAGCTGGACTCTCCATTTAACCAGCTGCAGTTCTCGACATATTTAGATGCCAGCACAATAGGGCAAATTAAACTTCACCATTTGATTTCTAAGAACACCTCTCATGTTTCCCACACTTCATGCAGATTTCTTGCAGCTCGATTCACCCAAGTGCTCTGAGACATTTGAAATCAGTAGCTGGGAATGACTTCTAACAGAAAACATGCTGCTTGCAGAGATCTATACCAGTGTGCTGGCTGATACACTTATATTCTAAAAGGTTCAATTAAAAATAAAAGTGCATGCAAGTAGCACTTGCAAACCTTTATCTAATGCCATGAAAATGGGATTATGTGAAGAGGAGTTTACTAGTTGAGCCTGTTAGAACATGCTAGGGCCTGAAACACGTTCTCTGCAGGTTAGCACTTACTGTGGAGTAAACTGTTTCACCTGTGTTCTGCTTGGATCAAACAGGAAAATCATCACCAAGGTGTTCTGGAGGAGAAGCTGTTATTTTCTGGGGTTTGCATTGGAGCTGTGCTTGCTTGTGTAAGGTTAGCTGTTAAATTATTCTGTCACCCTAAAGTTCCTGTGAAGTGTATGCTAATAATTCTTTCTCCAGAGCAGAGAAGGCCATGGAAGGGCTACATCCTGCCACACCACTTTGGTCCATCTCAACAGTTAGCCCTGTTCACATGTATGAAGGAGTATTGCCTTGAGAAGGGCGACTAAAATGTAGATAAACACAAGCCCACTGAATTCTTGTTTTGTTTCTAAAGCAGAGAACAAATCTCCAGTCAGTATGTATGTGCCCAGCTGATGTTTCTGTCCCCAACAAAGAGCTAACTGTTCCCAGTGGAGTAGCCTGAGGTTTGAGAACAATCATCAGTGTTCCCCCAAGGGGTTGTTTTTCAACCCTCTCTTGTTTCTCATAGATGCATTGTGAAGACATGCCAACAAGTTGTGAAGGGCAGTAGGGCAGCCATGAGGACATGCATTCAGTACATAACTGTATATGTGTCTGTATCATAAATAACTGGGGGAAGGGACAGGATGAGAACTGGCACATGGTTTTATCTCCAGGATAACACCTGAGCACGCTGATCTGTAGCCATTTTCTGTTACACAGAAAAATAACATAAAAAAGCTGTTTTAGCACCTTGGGGTCCTGGTAGTTTGCAGAACATACAGGCAGGGATGTTCATCTGCATCCCTGTACTGCTGGTGTGTCTGTTTATCTCTACTACATGGGGAAAAACAAGCCATATCATAATAGAAGCTTACATAAGTATGCTTACATAAATATCAACCTCTCCTTGTACACTATACTTCTAATGCAAACATATGTAAAAGACTTGTTGCTCACAGAAGGGCTCTAAAATATATTAATTAAGCAGACGATATTCAGTATCTCATATATATGTATGTACGTTGGGACTTGGCTGGTATTCTGTACAAAAGCTAACAAAACAATGTTTTTCTGTATTGTAAGCTCAAGAGTAATGAGAGTAAAAGCTCACAGGCTATAGCTTGCTTTTTGTAGCTGAAACTTTACTATTTTCAGAAGATACTTGTGTGTGTTACAGTGTTGTGCACTTAAGTTGTGGTATTTCAGGCTACCAACTTCTATTGGATAAATATAAGGACAAAGCTGTGGTACTGGTGGTTTCCATTTTTCCTCTGTGTAGGCTTAGCTACAGTGGTCATTAACGAGCCTAGACAAGCCCTTAAACAACATGCTGTAATGCAAAAATGCTTAGGTTTGTTCTTTGTTGTAATTACAATCATTGCTGTCAAATGTATGCAAGTGTTTTTTAGGTCACCTTTATTCCTAGGGGTGAGCACACATTGCTTGCACAAATTGATGAACCTTTTCCACTGGCCTAATTGTGTCAGCATTAGACAAACTCATGAAAAATGTTTTGTTACAGTATAGTTAATGATAACTTTGAGTCGTGTTCTTCTAACTGGGAAGTCTGTATACTAATATGAAAAAAAGGGTGTGTAAGGGACTGAGAGGAATGCACGCTGCTTACGTGCTCCAGGCAGTCTTGCTTTCCTGCCTAAGCTTCTCTCAGCATCAGCTGCTTTTCCACTTGATGATTCTGATTTAAAAAAACTGGGAGTCTTCAGGTATAAATGCGTTTGCTTTTGCAAACACCTATCAGTTGCTGCAGAAGCTCTTACTTCAAAATGGAGAAGTTAGGTGTGTGATGTTTATAGTTACTAAAAATAATGGTCTGAGTCTTTCTATATGATTAGATGATCCTTATCATTCTAATTCATCTGCCTAAAGAAACCTCTTATCTCCTTGCTCTAAAGAAAGAGAAAACCTTCTAGCAAGTTCTGTTTTCTTCTCATTTCCAGTAAGGCAATGGGAGTAACACAAGACTACCACCTTCTGAAGAAGCAGTTGAATGTACCGAAGTGCTGTTCCAAGAAGTCTCCATGTTATCCCTTGTAAATGGAAGATCTCTCTAATGAGGTGGTGTTTGGACCTTGTGCTGTAACATTTTCACAGAATCACAGAATCACAGAATCACAGAATCACTAAGGTTGGAAAAGACCTATAAGATCATCCAGTCCAACCATCCATCTATCACCAATGGTTCTCGCTAAACCATATCCCTCAACAGTACAGCAACTTGCCATTATTTGGTTGGCCTTCAGCCATAAATCCCTTGCTTTCTGGAAATGCCTGTGTGAATTTTGTCCATGCACTTTTTGCCTGTTACAAGAGAGACATGAAACTATTGCATCTCCCTTCTACTTTGAATAGATGACACAGTTGCTAAAGCAATTCCCATTCTAAGTTGACGATGAGTATTGTTTTTTCACTACATCAAGATAGCCTTTGTGAATGAGACAACAGCTGTTCAGTGAGAGCGCTATCTAAAATCTTTCCAAATGAGTGACTTGTTGCTAGTGGTTCACTTCATCAGGGTTTGCATAGAACTCACTGATCTTGTCCAAATAAAAAGCATCCTACATCCAGCACCACTCCAGAGCATTCCTGACATAGAGTTTTAGAAGATTTTTTTGCTGAAGGTCAACATTTCTGAATCATTTTAAGTTTGAAGAATTAATCCTAAATTAATCCTCGCAGCTTCCATGAAGAATCTCCCTAAAGCTCTTCTGTCCATAGAGCCCAAAGACATTGGAATCTTTCTCAGCTTAATACACTGCTTTATTCACTTGGCTGCTTTCCAAAATATGAGTTTTTTAAAAATATGAATCTGTTTAGGGATCTAGCTGCCAGCTGAACCACAAGCAATTCCTTCAGGAAACTTCTTTAGCCAGCATTAGTGTGGCTAAATAATGCAGAGAAAACCTGCGCCCCCCTTGGGTGCTGGAAGGATATGGAGCGAATTCAGTATCCCCTACCAGTTTATCCTCTTTCTGCTTTTGACAGATTCTACTCAGAAAAATGAACATGAATCAAGGGGAATCTTTATCTTTGAGATGTTGTAGTGGTATTTTTGATTTTTTTAATTGTATTTAACAGTGACATAAGATAACAGTGACATGATAACAGCTATAGCCTAATGTAAGAGAGAATGTATATTCTCCTTTGCAAATACAACTCTGAAGATTAAAGAGCCAGATATCAGTTGTCTAAGGGCATTACTTAGAGCAAAAGCAGCTCTAAGGAGAACAGCTACATATTGATGGCTTCTTATCAACAGGAAAGTCAACCGTGTTTGAAAAAGTGTAGCGTTTGAAGTCACCAGCCATCCATCCCACAAATAACGTTCTCCAGAAATGAGGAAAATGAAGTTATTAACAACCACAGCAGCAGCCCAAGGCCTCTGTCTGCTAGATGGGCTCTCCAGAATAAGGTAGGCATTCAGTATCATCCCCAGAAAGATGATAGGTAATCACTACATCTTCCAGCAGTTCCTCAAGCAAATGCCTGTTGCCCTGTCTTTAAAGGCAGAAAGAGAGTGCTTCCACAATTTCTCTTTCTTGCTCCATCTTCCTAGTCTTTAAGGCGATGTCTCACTTCCATTTTTCTTTGCCTGCTTTGGCCTTCTACTTCTTTTTTCTCCCCTCCTTCTCTCCCTCTCATTCTCAACTTTCTCCATCTGCACACTGCATGGAGTGACAACACCTTACAGCTCCCCTGTCTTGTGGTCTGGGTGCTCTTGACTCAAAGTTTTTTAATAATGGGACAGTCCCCAATGTGAAAAAGACCTAGGTATGCAGAAATTGCCATAGAGAGCCCAGGGACCTGAAAGCATGTTGAGGGATAATGGAAACAGGCCCAGAGAATAAGAGAAGTGTCAAGGAAAATGCTCTCCTAAAATAGAGTTTACCACTTTCTCCAAAAACTTATGAGGAGATAACTGAAAAAACAGCATGTTCGGGGGCTTTTTATTTTCAGGTCTTCAAGAATGCAGATGAGGACCACTTGTAATGTGTGGCAGAACATGGAATCAATTTCAAAGTCCTTGCAATCAAGTTGTGAGTGTAGTTTTTGGCACACTGGAGTTAGTGTTGTATGGCAGTAGGAAAGTGTTCTCTGATTGAGGGCTTGTCTCCTAAAGTTGTTCCTGATCCTTCTTGCATGAGTATGGATCATATCAGAACTTTTCCCATCTTCTAAGGATGGAGATCTTGGTAATGAGTGTGGGTATTTTGGTGGGTATTTTTCTTGCTTAGATTATGCAGTAAGGCTTCTTGATGGGGCTTCTTGAAAAACTCGGTCTCTCCCCAAAGATGATCCAGTGCTGCTTCCTGCAGCAGATGGCACTGTTGTTTGTTTTCAGAGGTGAAGTTTATTTTAATTAAAAATTCCCTCAAATCCTCTTGCTTGCCAAGAGTCCCTTTGGTTCATTAACAGATCCATTGTATAGTGACAGTTCTCTATAATTCTAGAGCCTTGCATCTGAATATTCTCTAGTGAACTGTCTCTGGGGCCATTAAGTATTTAAATGCCCTGACATCTAGAGGTTTAACATCTTGGCATGTCAAACATCTTTAATGCAGCAGACACGAGTGAATATCTGTGCTAGAAAAATTAGGAAAAAGCATCAGCTTCTCAGATACTGTACTTCTGAGTGCCAGTAGACAATAGGCTATATGAGGGAATTTTATCACTTCCATCAGGAGTACCTTTTTGAGTTTCTGCCATCATTTAGGCTTTGGTACTTGCAGTTAGTTCTGAAAATAGGCTTGGGTCAGAATATTGTCTTTGAAAGAAGAGTGTATCTGGGTATGTTTATTTACTTCAGAGATAGAAGCAAAAGTGTATTCTAATTACACCCAAACACAACTGCACACGTGATAGCTTGAGAAATGGGAAAATCCAGATCTTTGGTGTAGGTGGTTTGGGGAAGGTAAAATTAAAGGACAGAGGTGTTCAATTGTAGCCAATGTAGAAAATGTTGGAGATGTTAATGTAGAAACAGCAACAAAAAGCACAGCAATCTAATGTCCTTTGGAGGAAAACTGGAGTACCTTTGGCTGACCTACCTTAGCAAATCAGTGATCTGAATAATGAAGCAAGTTCTTAGTAGCTATGTCAATTCACTACATCAGCACATGGCAACCTAGCTGTGCCTCTTGGCACAAAAAGTCTGATTCTTAAATGTTTATAACTCCCCTCTTTGAAACTGAATTGATATATGGGGTAATTTAGATAAGCTTTTGACATTGATGTTCATTTATTTTCCCACTGGAAAAAAGATACTTACATCTATAAAACCATATTTTTTATTCCTCTAATTGTTTTTGAAAAATAGCCACTGTTTTCATTGGTGTCCTTACCATCCTCTGAGTTTTGGCAGCACTGACACTTTGCCACTTATTTCTGTGGTTACCGGGGTGATGCTTTTCCGGTCACTGCACAGCATGCTGCAGCTGCACACAGCCTAAACCTTTCTTCTGCCTTACCCAAAATTTACAATGCAAATGTTGGATTCTCTCCTGAATACAAGTTCTCTTGTTTGTATTTTCCTGAATATAAATTTCCAGAGCCATTTAAGCCTTTCTAAATGTGTATTTTTGGCATTAAACACACACTCAAAATGAGTATAAAGGAGAGGAAGTATTTTAAATGGCCACAGTAAGCTCATTTCTTCTTTCCCTTGGGAGAAACATCGGGAGAAACATCGTCCTTAGGTTGTTGTACTCACATGCACATCATTGGCACTGCTGATTGCTCAATTGGTGTATTGGGACGGCAGGATTTTACTAGATGGACAAAAGTAAAGGATGGGTGTGAGTTTCAGCCTTATGAGACTCTTGCATTGTTCGGGAAGAACTCCCTTTTATGCAGGTGTTAATTTGCTGATGCCTGGAGGAGAGTTAGTAATTATCCACTCTATTATATACTACTGGGAAAGTGAACTTATGCTGTCCTTCAATCCACTGTTGAATAACTTGCACATCAGTTTTAGTTGAGGTGCAGTTCTCTTTGCTTTCTTCTGGTAATTACAGGGAGCTTTATCAGCATAAATATCTGAAAGCCTTACAGTCTTTCTTTACCGTTATTTTCTTAATTACATTCTTTCTGAGTGACTGACCTGAAACATAAAACCCTCACCTAAGGACTGGGGGAGGGAGCCATCCTCAGTGAGGAGTGTCAGAAACAGTGAACATGGCTTAGAAAGATGCAGGAAGACAGTCCCAGCCCTCAACCAATTCTGAACTGGGGAGGTAATGGGCTGGGACCACTGTAACATTCCTCAAAAGCACTCTTAACCACTCTAAGACTATCCTAACCCCCCTATAGGCAGTTCTAAACTATTCATCTCTTCTGAATTGCTTAAAAATCCTTTAATCAGCTCCGAAGAGCCATAAGGACAGCTTACTGTAGCCACAATAAGGCAATTGCCTCAAAACGTGTAATTTATACAACTTTGAATGGTCTCTCAGCTACTCTAAAACTCTTCTGATCAGCTTTAAACTGCCCCAAAATAGTTCTAAATATCTCAAAAGATTTATTGCAATTCAGATGCCTTGAACTTCCTGTAAACATCCCTAAAGATCTCAGAAATCACTCAAGTTCCTCCAAAGCTCTTTAAAAGCACTCCAAGCAGTCCTGAGGAGCTGTAATATCCCCATAAAGAGTGCTAGGGTCCTCTAAACAGCCCTAAAATCCTTCTATTCCTGCTCTAAGCAATTTTCAGATTCATCTGATCATATCTAGATCTCTTCTATATTGATCTGAGAACCTCTGAATTTCATTTGAGTCTCTGCTGTTCCTCCAAGGACTTCTCAAACTGCTTGGAGATGCTTTGAGATGCCCTAAACCCCTTTGGACAGCTATGAAACACCTCGAATAGTCTCTTAAAGAGCTGAATTACACCCCCTAAATTGCTCCTTTAAATTAAAATGTATTTAATTTATTAATTAATTAAATACAAGAATTTAACTATTTCTAAAGCACTCGAAAGTGGCACTAAATCAGCCTGGACTTCTTTAAACAGTTCCAGAATCAGTTATAAGCAATGGTGAGAAGCTATGTATTCATCTAAAACCACTCTGCCTCTCTGAAAGCCCTCTAAACTGCACTAATCTAATCTAAATTCCCTCGCATTGCTTTAAGCAATACTACAATAGCTCTCAAAACCCTCTCGATCTCCATGCAACTGCTCTAGAACTCTTTTCTGCAGTTCTGAAACTTCTTTTCTAGAAATAACACTTCAGCTTCTCTTTGGGCCTTTAAAACTCAATGATGCTATCAGCCCCACACCCCTCTAAAAGTACCTAACTCCTCTAAAGACCCTACGGATTGTTCTGAGCTGCTCTAAGGACATCTGAAAAAGGGAGAAAAGTCTCAAAGAAATGAAAAATAGATGTGCTAATGAAGCCAAACAGCACGAAAAGTGACCACTGAACACTAACTGCCCACAGTGAGCATATTTTGGAGCGGAGGAGGAATACCAGAGACCCAACCACCTCTGAGATCGTTATGTGACTGCATGAAAAATGTGCTCCCGGAGCACGCAACAACAGGGGATTGTTCTGCAGGTTACACAAACATAATTGAGTCTTCTGTGCCTGGGCAGAGTTCTTCAGGGTCTTCGGTGGTCGTTTGGGGAGGCGTCCCCCTACTCAATTTGATGTTTGGGCGCAGGATTTCTGAGGGCACCATCTGCATTCTGCTGATTGGTTACTGTGTTGGACTCGTGCCCCTGTATAGCTCTTAGTATAGAAGTCTTGTGGTCAGGAAGGATGTTTATTTATTTGGCAGGCTGAGGGAGCTGGGCCTGTTCAGCCTGGAGAAGAAAAGGCTGATAGAAGGTGATTATAAACAGGAGGGGAATTGACTTTTTACAATGGTAGACAGTAACAGGACAAGTAGGGATGGTTGTAAGCACAAGGAGGGAAGACTTAGGTTGGATGTCAGGGGGAAATTCTTTGCTATGAGAGTGCTGGGGTGCTGGAACAGCTGCCCAGAGAGGCTGTGGATGCCCCGTCCATCCCT